TGAATCGGTGGCACCAATGAATTCTTCGATGTTACGGACCAAAGTTGCGACGCGCTGCTATCACTGTCGGTGGCTTGGGCTGTTACATTCAACGCGTTGTCGATCCTTTGGCACATGCGTGCCAAGTGCCCTTGTTTTCCACATTTGTAACAGTGCCTCCCACGCATTGAACAGGTCGCGCGCTTATGATTACGCTTTCCGCAGCACTCGCATGGCTTTCCGTCTTCGTTTTTCTTCTGACCTCGCGGCACCCAGCGTTGCTCTTTCATTGCCGACACTGTTACCGGGGGCGTTTCTCGATTTATGTTCTCCGCATCTAACTCTGCCCTTTCTGCCGCCAACGCAAGTGGCTCTGCTTCTTGTAATGTCAACTCAGGTTTCGCGAGCAGCTGCTTTTGCAAATTTCTTGAACGTACCCCGCACACGATACGGTCTCTTAACATCCTATCCAGCATGGACGAGAAGTTGCAGTTATGCGCTAGGCGCCGTATTTCCACAATGAATGCGTGAACAGACTCTCCTTCCTGCTGGTTTCGGTGGAAAAACTTGAAGCTTTCTGAAATTTCGTTTGGTCGTGGGTCATAATACTCGCTTAGTAACTTTCACTACCGCATCGTAGCCGAGTGCGTTTGGCTTCTGCGGTGCCACTCTACCGCATAGTACATCAATCGTTCGCGACCCAAGTGCGGCTACCAACAGGGCTCTTTTCCTGGCATCATCAGTGACTTCGTTTGCTTCAAAATAAGCCTCAACCTTCACGAGGTACGCTTGCCACTTATCTGTGTCGTCGTTGAATTCCGGGAGGCGGTGACTCATGGCTGTCGATGTGGTGGCTGCTTGCCCGCCTTCAGGAAGCAGCTGGGTCTCGTTCTTTGTTGAAATCCTCGTCGCCACTGTTATAACCGGCCCCGCGGCTGAGCCGCGCCCCGAAATGCACGAACAGAGTGGCCAGGGCAAAAAGCGAGCGTTTATTGTCCAGCTTGGGTTTTTATAAGAACGAAAGGTAAGGAAAGGGGAAGAGGGAGATAAGATAGAAGGCGCGCGCAGCGTAGACTGGCAGCGCTTGTTTAGCGGTGGCGAACAGTTCGTGGCATGGAGCATGGTTCCTTTTGGCAGTTGCATAAGTCAGTTACCAGACTTTGGGGTGGTTGTTGCCAGACTGCCGCTAAGTTTGGCTAAAAAATGTCCTCCTGTAGTTGTGGCTTCTCCGTAAGAGTTTGGTGCCATCCGCGGTGCATTTCGCGAGTACATGAGCGAGGCTGACCGTTTTAATTAACGGAATGAACCGCGCGTTACAGAAGTTGAGCGCAGCGCTGCTGTGCAATTAGGAGGCCAATTTAATTAACGTAATAAACCGCACCTAGCAGAAGTCGAGCGCGGTGCTGCTGTGCAATTAAGAGGCCATTTTAATTAACGGAATGAACCACGCCTAGCAGAAGTCGGGATGCGTTCTCTTGCTGTGTGCGCAGCTGTGCAATTAAGATATCGCGTTTCAGTATTAGGGATGACGGGGAAAACTGAATAGAGTCGCAGGAGGTGATGCGCTTCCCCCTCCCCCCTTATTATTTTTAACCATTATTAACCACGTATGCAAGGCCAAAAGGAACCTTGCCAATTCTGGAAGCCTGCCATGATGAAGTTGCCTCCGGTCATCTCGGCTACACTCGAACATTGTCCCATCTGCAGAACAGTTACTACTGGCCGAACCTACCTGCTGCTGTAAAACATCACGTCCAAACCTTAGCCGACTGTCAAAGACACAAAGCACCCCCCGGGTAGGCCCACAGGCTTAATACATTCCGTCTAAGTACCAGCAAAGCCCTTCGCCCAAATCGGAATGGATTTCTTGGGCTCATTCTCAACTTCTACCACAGGGAACAGATGGATCATTGTCGACACCGATTACTTGTCTCGCTATGCAGAAACTAAAGCCATGCTGAGGGCCACAGCAGCAGAAGTGGCTCATTTTTTCATAGTAAACGTCGTCCTTCGGCACAGGTGCTCCGACAGTTGTCATCACGGATAGAGGAACTGCGTTCATGGCAGAACTTTTGGAGTCGGTTCTCAGGCTAAGCAGTACAGCTCACCGGAGAACAACGGCGTACCATCCACAAATGAACGGACTAACAGAGCGGCTTAATAAGGTCCTCACAGACATGCTTTGCATGTATGTCGACACAGAACACAAGAACTGGGATGAAATCTTGCCTTATGTGAACTTCGCCTATAACACCGCGCGGCAGGAGGCTACCGGAATGACGTCGTTTAGTTTAATACATGGGCGCAAAGTCACTATAACATGGATGCTATGCTGCCGTACAAGCGTGATGACACTCATGCTGACGTCGAAGAATTTGGTCAGCGCGCCGAAGAAGCCCGACAGCTAGCCCGCGTGCGTATTTGTCACCAGCAACACAGAGATGCGAAACAGTGCGACGTACGGCATAAATTGGTAACCTACACACCAGGTGACAAGGTATGGGTCTAGATGATATATATTCATGATTTGGACACATTCGGAAAACGAGCTGCTCAAATTCATACAGGCATTTAACCAAGTACACGCCAGAATTTATTTTACACACTCCTACTCTAACACTGAATTAAGTTTCCTTGATGTACTTATTCGAATGGACGATGGTGCGTTGGTAACTAGCGTGTACCGAAAACCTACGGACAGGCAACTATACCTGCACTTTGAAAGCTGCCACCCGCGACGCTGCAAGAGCAGCATTCCCTATTTCCAAGCACACAGATTCCGACGAATCTGCTCCCGCACCGAGGACTTCCACAAAAACAGCACGCATATGCGCGAAGTACTCCTTTGTCAAGAATACCCGTCAGCTATTATTGATGACGCCATCAAAAAAGCGGAAAATCTGGATCGCCAGACTCTTCTACACCACCAAAGAGATGCCTACCAGTATTGTAACAAAAATTTGCTATTAACTTTCACGAGCAAACCACCTAACATAAACAAGGTCCTAAGAAAACACTTTAGCATATTGAAACAGAGCGTGCGACTATCCAAAATTTTCACTTCTCCTCCTTGTGTGGTATAAAGGCGGCCGAAAAGTATAAGGGATCATTTGACAAATTCAAAAATAGGCGTGAAACCTCAAACAGGGTGTCGCCCTTGCGGAAAAAGCAGATGCAAAGTATGCAAACACATGCAGACAATGACAGTGGCGGAAAGCACCCACTCGGATTTTAAGCACAGGATTAGAGGTGCACTAAACTGTGACTCAGATAACGTCATATACCTTCTGGAATGTGGGGTGTGTAACATGCAATACGTATGCCAGACAGACACACCGTTTAGAATTAGATTCAACAATCATCGGGCACATGTACGTTCCCTGCCAGGCCTTCCACTTTCAAAACGCAATACAATTAAAGACCACAGCTTTGATGGCATCAGAGTTACACTATTGGAAAGCAATTTCGAACAATCAGAGAGTGAGAACAACGAAAATCTTACTTTATCTACAAATTCAACACGATAAAAAACAGAATAAATGAACACCCAGGCACTTGGTCAGCGTTATGATCACTAAAAGATGCAAACGTCCTTATTTAATCAGTACTCTGCCCCTAGTCTCCCATTACAACAATAATATTACCCCCTAACAAATCTTTTAGCGTATACATATGACAATAGAGAAATGGTTCGCCACTTCAAGTACAGCCGGAACGCACAGATAAGTGGTCCCGAATGCCGTACAAGTTCCACCTTTTTTTTCTTTTTCTCTTTTTATTGCCTTTTTTTCCTTCTTTTCCTTCGCTGACAGGAGCCAGTGCATATAATGAATATTGATAGGGGCGTCACAATCACCGGCTCTTTCGTATCTTCCAACGCCACCAACATGCACTTGAAGCGCTTAAGCTCTCCTACTGATTTGGCGTAAACTTCAAAAAAGGGCAAGTTGCCAGCGGATTGCACCGGAGGGTGAAATAGAGAAATGGTGGTCAAAATGTCCACCTGGGAGAAGGGTGGGTGCTCGGGAAGTACTGTTGACAAAGATGGCATAGCTCGTTTACGTTCGCCTTTGTTGAGTTCCTGTTCCTTCCCAATCCTGCCATGCCCCTCTTGCTTCTTTCTATGTTTCTTCCTCCCTTTCTTCTTTTTTTTTCTTCCTTTTTTTCTTTTTCTTTTTGTTGTTAATATTTTTCTTCTTGTCCCATTCCCTCCTGTCTATAGAAGCTATAAGACGGCATAAAAATGTGTATATAGTATTATGCCTTGAAAAAGATGGGGCTCCTATCGAAACGTTGGCTGAATAAACAAGTTGTTATGTGAAAGCGCATCTACTTTTATACTTATAACCTTACGGCAATGAATACGCTGTTAGTTGACAATCAGCAAACTTTTTCTTTTGTTTTACATCAGCTGTCTATCACTTCTCTCGCTATTTAGCTTTCTGTGCATGCTGCATTTTGTGACCAATACTGAAAACATCATGCCACTTATTTGTTACATGTTTTATTCCATGTGATATGCCTATACAGAATCTCTGCTGAATCTTGCGGTAGTGATTACCGTCAGCTGTTCCCTTCGGCCTAGCTAGCTCTTACTGTTTTTGTCACTTTTTCACAGGCTCTTGTGATTATTTAAAAGTGAGGTATCCTGCATCTCGTCTTAGTATCTGCCTTGCAAAACTTTGTTGCATTTTTTAGTGACTTGGTTTAGACAAAAAAGACAGAATAAAGACGCCCCCAAGGTTAAATGCACATATATATACCCGATAAAGTGGGGATGGCCGCCACCGTAGCTCATAGGTAAAGCATCGGACGTGGTATTCGAAGGTTGGTCCCAGCCATTGGCAAGTGATCTTGTCGTCCACTTTTCTTTCTTCACATTTACAAAAAGTACAATTAGTGCTAGTCATCCCCTTTACTTTCTTTAGCATCATTGTGTTTTAGTTCTCATTTATGTTGTGTCTAACAAAGCTTTATATTTACAGTTGTTTCCTTTTTGTGAAATGTTGTGTTTTTTGCAGGCGGTGCTAAAGCCAGTGACCGGTCGGCGACATCAGCTGCGAGTGCACTGCGCCACTCTAGGCCACCCTGTTGTAGGCGACACCACGTATGGCGACGCGAGTGCTGCCGTGCACAGTCGCATGTACTTGCACGCGTGGCGGCTCCTGCTGCCCACTCAGCTGGCTGTGGTTGATGTGAGCACCGGAAGTGAGCACCCGTTTGGCTGCCACCAGGCCTGGCAGGATGTGCCGTCTCAAGACAGACCGAAGTGGACTGTGGATGATGCATTTGAGCAGCTTGAGTGCTCAGAACTGTTTCTTGCATGGAGTGCGCAATCGCCAAAGTGCTGCACTGACAGGATTCAGGGCAGGGAATGTGCGAATAATAAGTGTAGCTAAATGAAAGAAATGACTTAGCATAAGTTTCACTAGGGTTAACTGCACAAAAAGTGCCTATGCATTGTCATCAAATGTTAATACTAAGCCTGAATTTGTAGTTACGTTTATGTTCAGCCTGAATTGGACCCTTTTTTTCATTGATGAAGATGACCGTGTAGTAAGCAACAGCTAAAATATTCTAATTTGAAGGATCCTTTAATCCATCTCCACAAAGGCGTAAAATATGGCCTAAAGCAGGACTCTCTCATAAACTTGAGTCAAAAACAGTTAAAAATAAACGTGGCTGATCCCCCTAATAGGAATCGGTATAACACAAAAGTGAAACATGTCTTTACAGAGGTGGTTGAGCCTTTATTGATCATTGTTTCAGCAACAGCAATAAATTGCAAAGTTAAATTAAGAACAGCAAGCAGCTCGACACTTGCAGTACACGCCTCAAGCAGAAAGCATGCACAAAATTAGCATACACAAGACATGCGAGGACCAACAACTGTCACAGCTCGACACAAAGCGTGCTCGTCAAACAAAAATGCACGAAGCGAGCACGAAGAAGAGACCATGGTCCGCGGAGGCAGCACTTCGTGGAGGCGACGACCTTTAGAGCGCGCCCAGCGCGAGCCCCTTGCGCCATCTCACTACTGATAATTATAACAGGCTGAAGTTTTGAAGCTCTGAGGACTTACAATTGGTGTATGGTGTATATAAATGGCTTGCTGTAGCACTCCAGACAATGTATGCTCCTTGGTGTAGTGATTAGCGCCACGCGCTCAGAATCAAGAAGTTGCTGGTTTGACTCCGCATGGTAAATGCTTGTCTTCAGGTTTTTTTTTTTTTTGCAATCTTTTTAACATCATTTCCATGACGGAAGTACGTAAGTGGAGCCCCACGGCTCTGCTGACGTACTTGACGTAAGCCGTTTACGTCACGTACTTGTACTTGACGTAAGCCGCTTGACGCAAGCCGCTTACGTACTTGACGTAAGCGGCTTACGTCAGCGGCTGACGTACCTCGGCTTAAAACACTTTCGTGTTAAAAGGAATTGATGGGTGCCTACCGTTTCTGTGGTGCCATTGATTGTGTATGGTGCTCCAGAAAGATTTTGCAGTTTTTTTATGTTTAGTTTTCAAGGGCAGCCAATGTACATCGCTTATCATCCCAGACCGCTCATTGGCATTCTGAGAAAAATTATTAATATGAACGTTTGGTTGAGTTTCTACTTCACATGAGGTTGAATGGAATTGATATTTTTTTTACTCAATGTTTGCAGATAATGTGTGGATCCACAGCCATAGGCTAGTATGAATCCAATAAGTAAAATTTTATAAAGGCACTTTAATAAAGGGTAACTAAGAAAAGTTACATAATTTCAAATATTGAACGAAGGATCAGAAAACAGACAATACATTACATAAATAACAACAGAAAATCAATTTTGGAAAACAAAGATATTAAAATGCTGGAAAGAATAAAAGGGAAAAGAATAGTGTACAAACTACTATAAGTGAGAATTAGGTGTCAGATCAAACATGAAATGACATTCACAGATAAATTAATTCTTGTAAAGTGTTCTTGTAGTGCTTTAGGAAAAGTATAACACATTTAGATTGTTCAAGGAGAAAGATCTTAATACCAGTGAAATACCCCGCCGCAGTGGTCTAGTGGCTAAGGTACACGGCTGCTGACCCGCAGGTTGCGGGATCGAATCCCGGCTGCGGCAGCTGCATTTCCGATGGAGGCGGAAATGTTGTAAGCCCGTGTGCTCAGATTCGAGTGCACATTAAAGAACCCCAGGTGGTCTAAATTTTTGGAGCCCTTCACTACAGCGTCTCTCATAATCATATGGTGATTTTGAGATGTGAAACTCTACATACCAATCAATCAATTGTTGCCAGCGAACTGTAATAGCCATTCACCCTGCACAATATTGTAAGTTGAAAGTTGAAAGTTGAAAGTTGAAATTTATTTCACCACAACGATACACCGTGATTTACACCAACAAGAAACAATTGTGGCATGGAAAGTAGGAAAAAAGCTGCGCTATAGCAGCTTGACTAGCCCCACCTCCCAGTCCATGGAATATTCCAGTTAGCAAACAATAGTTGTCCAGTAAAATGACAAAGGGTGCAAAACACGTTAAAAGGGAGGCTGTAATGAACAACCGCCTACACATGTTTGACTAGCTTTGTTTTTAACAGCAGGTCGCAGGGCAAAATACCTAAATGGGAAAACAAAGGTTTGATTGATTGTAGTATACCTATAATGAGTAACTATCCTCGCAGCACGCTCTTGAAGTTGTCTAACCAGTTCCAGGTAAGTTGTGCACATATGCTATCACAAACTCACTGCAATATCAGACATGGCTAAGAATGACAGTGTAATAATGTAATCGTAGCGTAATGGCATTAGTGCTTACGAGCCTGAGTAAGTGCATGACATGCTTGCGCTAATTTGAAACATGCTTTGAATCTGCATCTACCAATAAGTTATGTTTTGACAAGATATTTCATTGTGGTTACTTGCTCATTCACAAAATCTTTACTTTTTATGTGGCATTGATAAATTTCAACCCAGAGAGACATGTGACACATTTAGTTTTATCGGTGTTATTAGACAATTCATTACCTCATAAACAATCAGCAACCTTTTTCAGTACTATATTAGCATTTCAAGACAGCGCATAAAGGCGAACTCAAAAGAATAAGGAAGGAGCCTATGACACGAGTACCGGCTATCAATGGAATTTTAATCACCCCACACTTAAGTATTAACACAGATGAGCGTGACATGTTGCAACATGTGCGTATCAAGGTCGCACTTTTATGATAGCATGCACCAAGCTAAGCAAGATGTATAATATATATTATAAGGTGCATCAAAAAGCTAATTTTCTTTCCCAGTGTATTAAGTGAGGCCTGGTGAATACAAGTGCCCCCCCCCCCCTCCTTGATGTGGAATGCTTCGATGATAAGCCTTGACGGTGCGAGCTTGATACATGTATATAACACTTGTATCATTGAGGACTGCTACAATGGGCAGCCAAGTGAGTACTTTTTTTCTTTAACACCCTTCAGTGCTGTCTGAACTTCGTGTTAACACATCGGCTTGTTTTACCCGACATAAAAGCATATGCTGTCATAAAAGTATAACCTTGGTACACATGTTTTGCATCATGTGGCACTCATCTGTGTTTATATTTATGTCTCCAGAATAGAGCTCTGCGTCGCTGTGCAATAATTGCGGCGTGTCATCCTTGGTCGTATTTTCACCCAAACGAGAATTCTGGCCAAAAAAAAAAAATGCATCCCTTCACCGTCTTTCCTGCAGCTTTAACATTTTTCAGAGTAGCGTTTGCGGTGTCATACTGATGACTGCTCTCTTGTGCCTGTGTCTTCATGACCTGTATAAATAAGGGCCCTACCCCATCACAGTGTTCTAGTAACTAAGGTACTTGGCTGCTGACCTGCAGGTCGTGGGATTCAGCCACCCCGGCAAGGCCGGCTGCATTTCCGATGGAGGTGAAAATGCTATAGGTCCGTGTGCTTAGATTTGGGTGCACCTTAAAGAAGCCCAGGTGGTAGAATCATATGATGTCAATCGAATAAGAGCCCAGAAGAGCTTCTGAGGATACACAGCCGAGCGTCTTATTGTTTCTTAGCATTTTCTTTCTTTCGGCACTCTTTAAGACGCCAAAATGGTAATTCACATGACATGATTAGGGCACATGCTCTCGAATGTGTCATATACAAGAAATATCAATTGTAAATTGTTTTCTACCCTGCTTTGCCATGCTCCCCTTCATCGTTCTTCCTTGCGTCTCGCATGATTATCACGTACGATGAAGTTGTGATTTCGCTGCATTTTGTTACTCCGATTGTGCAAGTGTAAATAACAGAGTGTAGCCCATAAGCTGAAAATTCTGATAGGCTCAACACTTTGCGCTCGCATATTGCACACATGCTTTATGAAGACGCAAATGTCGATGAGATACGTATAGCATGTAAGAATTGTAGTGAATAGATTGTAGTGGAGTATAGTGGATAACATATGAAAGGAAGAGGCTCCGGAATATTTCATTCTCCCAAAGGCTAGCGAGGGACACTGTTGAAGCATAGATGAGAAGCCCATCTTCATCATACAGAGTGTGCATGCGATAACATCACTCCGCGGGCGATGCCTACTGTCGATTGTTCCTCAACCTTAAAGGAAGCCATGTCAGTCTTTTGCTGGACGAATGAGTATGAAGAGATACTCAGGTGCAAGGCTGTGCGGCTCGATCTGCAACTGTGAACTTTGATTATAACACCACGTTTGCGAGTGCTAGCGCATGCTATTTCAGCAGGCACCAGCGAACGGCTCGTGTACCTTTCTATGAGCTATATCACTGCACAAGCACTGCCCTTTCACCGGGAGCGGCTGTATTCCCCTACACCTGCATTTCGCAGTTTCGCGAGATCACATGAAAAAGAGTTAGCTGCAACCTAAGTTCCTCATGGGGCTGTGTGCTTCTATGGCACGGTGGTTTTCTGATCGTAAAACTGTTGGCTTTCTGACCATAAAGCTGTTGAAGTCACCTCAAACTTAGCGTGTTCTCCTCACAGACTTGAAATCAAAATTCTTTTCAGCTTTCGTAAGGTTGATGACACTTTTGTTTCCGACTTTAGCCTCGTCTTTTGAGGAATTCGCATGTTGTAGCGAATTTAGCAATGTAGGTGCGCCTTTTTGTAAAGTTTTGTGACATTGTGCATGAATGCCTACCAAAGAATGTGCCTCAGAAATATGTTAAATGGAACTCAAGACATACACGGTATCATAAAAATATAATTCTTCTCTCTCGTTGCATAACGCTATTACTTAAGAATCGTAAGTAAGTTTCTATGTGTAATGATAATGTTTGTTCACTTAATGCATTGAAAAGTAAATTAAAAGCAAAAATGAAAGAGGCTAAGAACTACTCCTTTTGCAAAGCCTTGGTTGCATTTATGATAAAAAATGCATCCATGTTCTAGAGGTCGATTAGTCCTGCGTCGTCTATGGCCTCATTGTTTATTCTTGATCCCTAATCCTCGTCAAATTCTGAAGCTATTCCAAATGCCTTTAATAATCAGTTTAAATCTGTCTTTTCTATCGATGGCAGCATCACTCCTTCATTTTCCGCATGCAGCAATTTACGTGCTCTTTCTAATGTTGAATTAATAACCTTATAACAAATATTGGGGTTACGATACACTGGCGCAGACAGTATTTCAGATACGCTTGTAAAATGACATTCAGAACGGTATATTACTGCAATATTTAAAAAATCAACAAACTCTGCAACAGTTTCCCAGCTGTGAAAATCAGCCAACGTCATGCCCATATTTAAGTCCGGTAACAAGCAAATACAAATTATAAGCCAATATTTTTGCTTTTTACCAGCTCCAAACTTTTGGAGCATACCATTAGAAATGTATTGTAGAATACCTAAAAGCACACAATATACTTTCACGGTCACAGCACAACTTTCGTGCTGGCTGTTATACTGTTACACTGTTGCTTCAATTTACGCCCGACATTGCTTCTTTCCTTAATACCACTTACACTAAACTCAATTTGGTTCATTGGAGATATTCTACTGGTGTTTGGAGAACAGAAAGAATCCTGAATGGGCGAAAAGACTGATCTAAAGTAGTTAAGGCAGTTTGCCTTGTCTCTATCATTTATGATAATTTAGTCATTATAAACATTTTTATTT